TGCCACGTGGAGGTGTATTTCCAAGCACCGTGCACATCTTCGTTTTTTGCTCTCTCTCCCTCTATATATATATATATATATATCTATTTCTCTATCTCTATCTCTTTCTCTCTTTCTCTCTTTCTCTCTCTCTCTCTCTCTTTTTATCTCTTTCTCTTTATCTTTCTCTTTGTTTCTCTCAACCGTATTGTAGATTCGACCTCATTTTTAAGCGCTACACCGAGCAACTTGAGCTTTGCGTACCGAAAAAAATATGCTTTTCTGCTTTCATTTCAGCGAGCATGAGAAAACAGATCTCTCTCTTTCTCTCTCTCTTTCTCTTTCTCTTTCTCTTTCTCTCTCTCTTTCTCTTACTCTCTCTTTTTTGTTATTATTTTCTCATTTTATTCCGATATTATTATTTATAAAAAATTTTCAGATAAAAGAGAAATAAAATATTAGACGAAATATTCGACGTATCATACGATCATCTAAAATGATTCAAAATATCGATATCATTTGACTTTCTTTTCTCTCTCTCTCTCTCTCTCTCTCTCTGTCTTTCTTTGTCCATATTTATCATTATGTGATTCGATTATTATCTGTTTTTTTTTTATCATGAGATGATCTTATTAAAAAAAAAAAAAAAAAAAAAAAAAAGGAAAAAAGAAAGAAAAGAGAAAAATATTATGAAGAAATATTTAAGAAAATTTCGTAGAGAGGTTGATTATTATTCTTTTTTTTTTTTTTTTATCTTAAGGTTATATTTTTAAAAAATTTATATATATATATATGTATATATGTATAAGGAAAGATCATAAAAACATTTCATGGTAATATCGAGTATCTATGTAATTCGAAATATCGATAGTGTTATTCGATCTTTTTTCTTTTTTTTTTTTCTCTCTCTCTCTCTCTCTCTTTCTTTTTCTTTTTTTTTTTCTTTTCGTGGGATTTGACGAGAATTTGCATTAGCGAGTACTGATTTATGTAGGTCGAGAGCTTCCGAAACGATCCTTCTTTGTCCTCGTCAGAGATGTCGAATATCTTTTACCTTTTGTAATATCACGCTAGGAAAAATTCTTTACGAAATCGTCTATTTTTGGTAATGAGCCTTGAAAGGTAAAGCCAAATAAAATTCTTCGCTGTTGAAAATGGAATAACAGATTTCCTTTTTTTTTTTTTTTCTGAATGCATTCGTACTATTCTTTCTTCAGAAAAAAAAAAGAAAAAAAAAAGAAAAACAAAAAAAAAAAGAAAAACATTTCTGAACTATCGATCTATTTTTATCAATATTTTTATCGATTTCACAGACACATGAATAAGAAAAAACAAAAAAAAAAAAAGAAAAACACACTGCACTCGTTAATTATTTATATATATATATATACATACATAAAAAAAGACTTAAAAAAGAAAAAAAAAATCCTACGATAATAATTATAAGTGAAATATGTTCGTACGTTATTAAAAAATAATTACAATCTAACCTGGCGTTAAGAGATAACGTAAACAAATAGAACACTGTTGATATAACAATTATTTTTTTTTTTATAAATAATCTAAATAAAATATATTTATATTATATAGAATATCGCAATAAGTAATATTATTTGCATTGATATTTATCATAATTATATATAATATTTAATTGTCATATTGATAAGTTTAAATAAATTAAGTTTAAATAATTTCTCAATCATAAAAATTAATTTAACGCGAATTATTCGTTTATTCGTAAGTTTCGCGATTTTTATAATATTTTGAAGAAATTTATAATCCCTCGTTTTTAATAAAAAATTGTATTATTGTTCGAGCTTTGTATAGCACGACGAGATTCGTAAAAAAGAGAAACAATGAAAGACAACAAAATAAAATAGAACGAAACGAAAATAATAATAAAAAATAATAATAATAATAATAATAATAATAATAATAATAATAATAATAATAATAATAATAAAAATCGCACGTTAATTGAATAAATAATTTTTAATGGAACATCGTAATACCAAAGCTACCATTACCTGAAATTTCATTCGGAAAGCGTTAAAGCAGTATGACTATACGAAATTGTTTGCTGAGAATTAATTTCACATGTAGACCGTGGGATTAATCTGCGAAGGTAAATAGGATTAAATGTTGACCCTGATATGCTGGATACGTTTTCCGCAATGTTCGCAATAATCGAGCATCGTCGCCAAACCTGATCGTAATCGTCTTCGGTGTGTTCAACCTAATCCTTATTATCAAAGGATTATGATAGACCGAGTATAAAACGAATTCTGGGAATTATAACTATAACCATTCGACATTCGTAATCGTATTTCATTCGCATTATTCCTCATAAAATTATTTAATAACGCTTATATTTACTTATCTGTCTTTTTTTTTTATTTTTCTTTTTATTTTTTATTTTTTTTTTTTCTCTCCCATTACTAATACGACATATCATCAATTACATCTAATTCATGATTTTCAATTTTTATTCGAACATATTTTTCAAAATTAATTTTCACAATATCGAGATTGTTTTATATATATATATATATATATATATATATATATATATCGTTTAAGAATATTTTTTTTCTTTTTTTTGTTTGTTTTTTTTTTTCACCGATGAAAGAAGAGAACAAATAAAATGTTGATTACAATGTATATATATATATATATATATATATATATATATATATCGATGAACACATTTATACATAGACATAGTTCATTGTTTTGTCGTTATCGTTATTTTTGTTGTTATTGTTATTGTTGTTGTTGTTGTTGTAGTTGTTGTTGTTGTTATTATTATTATTATTATTGATTGTTGTGCATTGAGTCTTGAAAATGATCGTGCTTTTCTATCGAAGAAGGAATAACGGAGATCGATTTTTTTTTCGTTCTTTTCTTTTTTCCTCCTCCCCCTCCACCCCTTTACAGAATATACATCGTTTAAGAATATTTTTTTTCTTTTTTTTGTTTGTTTTTTTTTTTCACCGATGAAAGAAGAGAACAAATAAAATGTTGATTACAATGTATATATATATATATATATATATATATATATATATATATATATATATATACATATTGTAAATAGGATATATATATCCTACGATATCGGTAGGAATCCAGATTCTAAAATATGAGAGAAGATTTTCAATGAGGTAGAAAATTATTATTCGCTTCTGCCGCGATATATACCTTCAATTACTGGATTAATTAAAACGCATTCAAGACGTCGCGCCTGGTAGCGTGGAATTTAATAAAGTGCCCAGCTAACTGCGAAAAATCGTGCTGCGAAGCGCGTGACTGTTCTGACATAAAGTAATGCATTATACAATACTTTCGTATTAGACGCGCATGGTGGGAACACGCCACGTTGAAAAAGAGAAAGAGAAAGAAGGAAAGAAGGAAAGGAAGAAAGAAAGAAAGAAAGGAAAGAGAGGAAAGAAAGGAAAAAAAAGAAAGAGAGAGAGAGAGAGAGAGAGAAAAAAAAAGAAGTGAAACAAAAAAGGTAAGGAAAAAAGAAAAGTAATTCCTCCGTCCAGTCCAACATCTCTTCTCCCCCCGTCCCATCATTCCGTCCAGCTCCTCCTACTCCTACTTCCCTTCTCATCCAGCTATAATAGTCCATCCCTCTAAAAAGAAAAGAAAAAAGAAAAAAAAGAAAAAAAATAGAGAAACGAAAAATGAAAAATGTTCACCGGAGCTTTTTTGTTGTTGTTATCGTTTTATTTTTCTTTTTTTTTTTTCTTTTTTTTTCTTTTTCTTTTTTTTTTCTAACTAGGGGAATTTTAATGCCCCTTAACAATAGGGTTGCCTCGACGTCGATCTATCGTTTCTCGTTTGCATCCCGTTCGACGAGGGTTTTAGGATCGGGTAGTAGGCGAAGGAAAGTAAGGTGTGCATAGAAGAGAGGGTGGAAGACAAAAATGGCGGAAAGTTTAGTATCGTCGAGACGGCGGATTGTAACGCGTGTCAAAAGTTATAACCACGTAACTTCGCTATAAGAGACAGATAAAGACTGACAGAGAGAGAGAGAGACAGAGAGAGAGACAGAGAGAGAGAGAGAGAGAGAGAGAGAGAGAGAGAGAGAGAGAGAGAGAGAGAGAGAGAGAGAGAAGACGAGGTCGAAGTTTTCCCTTAATAATGACGTCGGAAGTTTTCGATATTGTATTAGATTAGATATACACGTATATATACACGAACATACACACACACACATAGAGACACACAGACACACAGACGTATACATAGGAGAAATGATATACATACTCTTGTGATATTCGAAACGTATCCTTTGAGTTAACTTCCTAGAGAATTTACTAAGTTTCCTTAAAATGTAAACGGATTGATTCATTAAAGATTCTCTATATCTTTTTTCTTTTTTCATCTTTTTCATCTTTTTCTTTTTTAGAATCTGATTTTTCTATTCATCGTCATTGAATTTATTCTCTCTATATTAATCGTTCGTAAGAAATGAATATATAGTCTCGATGAAAAAAAAAAAAAAAGAAAAAAAAAAAAAAAAAAAAAAATAAAAAATTACGATTTTCCATTTGTTTCCATTACGAGTGAAATTTTATAAAGAATTTCTTAAACATAAATTTTTCTCTAATGCGTTAGAATTAGAATTATGATATATTTTTTTTCTTTCTTTCTTTTTTTTTTTCTTTTTTTTTTTTTTGTTTTTTCTTTTTTCTTTTTTCTTTTTCTATCATCCGTAAGAAATCAATGATTACGATGAATCCTTTAATTATGATAAATCTCTTTTTGCGAGTTAACATTACGAGTAATGAATTTTCAATGTTTATTAGATGTATTGTGTTTCATAAGAGCTTTCGAATAGAATTAGATTATTCTAACGTTACTTATAAATAAATTACAATTGTAAATAAATTACAATTTCGTTATTAAATATTCCTTTATATCCCATAATAATCGAGAGAGATGGTAATATTTTTTTTTCCTTTCTTCTTTTTTTTTTTTTTTTCTTTTTTTTTTCTTTTTTTTTTTTTTTCCTAATGAATCATTTTAACGACAAAACGATCGTCTTGTTTTTAATGGCACGATCATCGATGATCATCAATAATATTTGATAAAACTTACGTCAATATGCACGATCCATATGAAATAATACGACATATGAAATTGACAGTCACGTTGTTGATAAGTAATTTTTCGAAAATATTAATTCGAAAGTTCCGAGTGAAAAAATTGTAAGGAAGTATACGAAGACAAGGTTGTCGTATCTCGTATTGGACGTTGAACTTCTTCGATCGCCGCTATCGTGCATGGCCGCTGGATTTTCTTCCTCTGTAATTAAATAATTATTAAAATTTAAGCAACAATAAAATCTTGATGTGAATTAATAAATGATTTATCATGGAAGAAAAAAAAAAAAAAAAAAAAAAAACTATTCACGAACATTATCACTTTACGCGATATAGATATTTTATGTACGTACATAAAATAGTATTGATTTATTATAAAAATGAACATGATTTGCGATAAACTTTATTGTCATTATTATCGCTGTTGTCGTTCTTCTTATTCTTCTTCTTCTTTCTCTTGCCCGAAAAAAAACAAAACAACAAAAAAAAAAAAACAAAAAAGAAAAAGAAAAATAGATAATAGATATAAATTTGATATCTCGTGGTACCCATGAGTCGCGGTTTGATTTCATTTCTCGTTTGTATGCACTAGATCACGAGTTTTTCCATTATCTTTCCATTTCAATGAACTTCTGTTTCCAATTTCTTCTATTCTCACGGTATATAAAAAAACGAATGTATTATAAAGTATACGACAAATATAAAGTGTCTCGAAACTATCTAAATTTTTAGTATACTTCTTTTTATTTTTTCTTTTTTCTTTTTTCTTTTCTTTTGTTTTTTTTTTGTTTTTTTTTTTTTTTGAATCAATTCATTTTTTTCTTTTTATGACTAGGCCAGTTTCATCGTACAAATTGTAAAGCTAACAAATCTCATTTTTACTATTGCGATTCTCAATAATGAGAATAAAAACAAAAATACATTAGTAAAATTATTTGGAAACTTTTGTGATTCATCATCACAGACATTGTAAAATTACTTTTAGATTTTTAATAAAAATTCTTCTTTTTTATTCCCCATAATTTTCAACGATCATATTTAAAAAAAAATAATAATGATAATAACAATAATAATAATAATAATAATAATAATAATAATAATAATTGTTTGGACTGACCTTCGATAACGTGTATCCTGATGTAAGTAGGCCTTGCATTGCTCGGTAAGCAAGTATAGTTAGCACCATGGGATAATCTAACTTTACCAACGAGAAGTACTGATCCATTTTTCGTAGCCTCGATCTTGACCCCTGGCTCGTCGTCATAATTGATCATACGATCGTCGCGATACCAAAATATAAAACTTGGTGTTTCTGCGAACGCCATCAATCGACATTCCAAACGTAAATTTGACCCCTGTTTCACATGTAAATCTGGACTTCCTGGTATAACGGAGTAGGCATTGGTAATGTTCAAACGTATCAATCGTTGTTTTCCTGGGTCCGTTTGTATCTTAAAAATGTCAATGAAAAAATAAGAAAAGAAAAAAAAAAGAAAAGAAAAAAAAGATAAAAGAATACAACGATTACGATAACATTCGTAATGGTAGTAGAGTTGCTAGGAAAAAAAAAAGGAAGAAAAAAGAAGAACGTACAAAATTTTTTGTTTAAATAAGAAAAGTCAACAAAAATGTTCCCAAAGTGAAAAAAAAAACATAGCCGTCATAACAATAAACTGCATAAAATAATATTAATAATATAAATATAAATATAAATAAGTTATATTTAAATAATTTAAATAACAAAATTTATAGTTTTACTATATAAAAAAGAAAATAATTTGATATGAACGAAGATTTCTAAATCGATTTATTTCTATTGTCAATAATCGATTTAGAAATATTGGATCGATCCTTGAAGTTTCCTTTAAGAGTAATACATTGAAATCACGTCTTATAGCTTTTCTAAAGTATTAAATGTATTCTGTTTTAAATTTAAGAGTGAAAGAGAGAGAGAGAGAGAGAGAGAGAGAGAGAGAGTGAGAGAGATTTAGATTAGGTTATTCTATTGTCGGAGCTTTTCAGGAAGTATAGTGGTTATTGTCCGGTCGTAGTTCTCCTCTCTACTACGTGTATTCTATCTCCTCACATAGTATTGGTATTATACTATCGCTAGTGTTCTATGAGCGTGACCGGTCATAGCTACTGTTTGTCCAAGATAAACCTCTACTACTGTCGACCGTACGATCCATCACCATCGCCATTGGTATGCTATCTTATGAGATTAATATAAACGTATTGTGTTCGCGGATCCGACATATTGGAATATATTCCATGAAATGAGGTCGTCTCTTTGAGATTGGATTAGAATTCATTGATAAATGACATTATATAGAAGAGTCAAGTCGTAACTAAATAACATCTTTGACTACGTAATATTGTATCAATTAATATATATATATATATATATATATATATATATATATATATATATATATCGTTAATAATTTCTCAAAAATAGTTAATGTATAAAATTATTGTAAATCGAACGAATGATAGTTTCGAGATTAATAAAAAAATTTTCTACTTTTTTATTTTATTTATAATAATAATAATAATAATAATAATAATAATAATAATAATAATAATAATAATAATAATAATAATATTAATGATAGTATCTTAATACAGGCAACTATTAGTATCATTAACGATAATTGTTTTCTCTAGATGATACTTAGACATATTTGATGTTGAAGAGACTTTAGCGAGTTCCTTAATATAGGCAATATGTTCATAGATAGATATCTAGACCAAAGAACGTTCGTGTACAAGAGGTTGCCTGCATTAAGGCGCTTCCTTAGGAACTGTTTTATAGATATAACTCCTTTATGTATATATAAATATTTATATATATATACCATTTAATGTTAATGTAATTACATATATATATATTATATATATTATATATATATCTATAATTACATTACCATTAAATAGATATTTATAATTAGATAATTAATAAGAAATAATCTCACGTGACATTCGTAGATACCAGCGTCCTCTTGTTTAACATTCCTAATCCATAAATTCCAATTAGGTTTATCCGGTAGAACGGTAAATCTCGTATCAATGGAATAGGTGATTTTTCCTAATGTCAAAAGCTGTTTGTCCTTTCGTCTTATCCATGTTATCTGAAATGGAGGAATTTATGAGATAAATAAAATCAAAGAGGTTTCTATTTTTGTTCTTTTTCTTTTCTTTCTCTCTCTCTCTCTCTCTCTCTCTCTCTCTCATTCTCTCTTTCTCTCTCTCTCTCTCTCATTCTCTCCTTCTCTCTCTCTCTCTCTCTCTCTCTCTCTCTCTCTCTCTGTGTGTCTATCTCTATTCTCGTCCCATTTATCTGAACTCTTTGAACGAATTGGCAAATCATTGGGTCGATTTATTCGAGGAAGCGCGAAGTATCGAATCTCGTAGTCAATGCGACGTACAAATGTATCGATAGAGAAATAGATAGATAACTAGAGAGAGAAAGAGAGACAGAGAGAGAGAGAGAGAGAGTAAGAGAGAGTAAGAGAGATAGAGAGAGAGAGAAAGAGAGAGAGAGAATAACGTAACCACAAGTTGCTTCTCACTCGTTTTACCATTATAAATCGAATCACCGATGTGGTCGAGTAAATTCTATTTATCAACGTTTAACAAAATCGAATCGTTAGAAGAAACAACGGGAAGACAAGCTTGTTGAAAATTCAATCATTTAAAACGTTGAACACGCCATTGATAATTTAGATTACCGTAAGTGCTATACTGTACTATATATTCGTGCGTGTTTACGTAGAACGAGATATTACCTTTATTTCTGTAAAAGTACTTTTACGTTTATCAGTTTCCTCTTCGTAATGAGAAAAAACAAAGCGCCATACAAAATTTTCCTTTTTCTTCTCTTTACTTTTTTTATTGTTCCTTTTTTTTCTTTTTTTTTTCCTCTTCTTCTACTTCTTCTTTTCCTTTCTACGACGTATCTCCGTTAACGAATGAAAACTCTCTCGTATATTATAATGTTGTTATATATGTATATATGTACATACATGATGACAAGTCTTTATCTCTCTCTCTCTCTCTCTCTCTCTCTCTCTCTCTCTCTCTCTTTTCTGTATTAATATTTAAAGTACGTAATAATGCTTCTTTAATTAAGAACGACGGATATTAAAAAAGAAAAAAAGAAAAAAAAAAAAGAAAAAAAAAGAGAAAAAAAAAATAAATAAATAAAAGAGAAAAAAAAAGAAAAAAAAAGCTGTAACATGCTAGAAGATCTATTTCTAGTTCTAGTTCTTTCCTTTCATTCCTTTATACTTCCGGAATTTACGGGAGCGTCTAATTGAAGATCGGAAATTAAAATGAGCTTTTAAAGCGTTGGTTTGCGTGCGCGCCCTCAAATTGCTACTTACGAGGAAAGTAAGAAAATAGAAAGAAAGAGTAAAGGAAATGAAAGAAGAATGAGAGGAGGTGGCAAGGGGAGGGTGGGTGGGGTGGGGAGGAAGAGAAAAATGAAGAAGAGAAAAGAATTGAGAAAAAAAAAATTGAGAAAAACAATCGAGAAACTTTGACGATAATTCAACGTGCGTTTCGTTACGATGAATTACTATGAGTATACGCACGTATACATTCTCAATATTTCATTTTCATTTTCACGTGAATATTATTCGAAACGAGTGATGTAGTAAATATCGTCGAAAACTTGTCAAAAAAAATTTTTCTCGCACGTACGAATACTACACTCATTGTAATGGCTTACAAAAAACTTTCTTTGTTTTTTCAACTCTTGCATATACACGTATGTAAAGAGAAAGGGAGATATATATATAGAGAGAGAGAGAGAGAATCAGAAGAAAAACAAAAATTCTCACAAAAAATTTTTCAAAAAAAAATTTCTCATTCGATCGATTTTTTGTTTATTTTTCTTTCCACCCTTTTGTTCTTTATTTCTTTTTTTTTTTTTTTTTTCTTTTCTTATTTTAAAATCTCATTCCTGATATGATCTCATTGAGTTAGCCAAAAAGAAAGAGAAAGAGAGAGAAAGAGAAAACGAGAGAGAGAGAGAGAGAGAGAGAGAGAGAGAGAGAGAGAGAGAGAGAGAGAGAGAGAGAGAGAGAGAGAGAAACATTCGATTTCTCGTTAGAGAACGTTCCTACCGTACTAACGCTATGACTAGTTCAGAAATTTATTGCTCCTGAAATGGACGGCTATTTGCGAACACCTCCTGTTACCATAGTCGTCCCTTTAATTACTGCTAGGTCCTCTCTATGCACCTGCCCATATACATAAAAGCCATGTGTATGAGCCAGCGTTAGGTATATATATATATATATATATATATATATATAGCCGTTTATTAAAGGCGTGTGCGCGTTAAATGAACATTATTGTTTATCCATTAGATTTGTTGTGGCTGATACGAAAACCGTAAAGAGATCCGAGTTGCAGAAAAAAAAAAGAAAAAAAAAAGAAGAAAGAAAAAAAGCAATTAAATAAATAAATAAATATATATATATATATATATATATATATATATATATATAGAGATAATAAATATTTCGAATTTCCGTTTGATTCTTTGATAATCATCTATACTATTGAGATATTAATTGTATGTGTTTATGTGTACCCCCTTCTCCCGCTCTCCTTCTCTCTCTCTCTCTCTCTCTCTCTCTCTGTCACTCCCACGTTCTCTATCTTTTTTTCTCTCTCTCTTTCTCTTTTATGTATAAACTGTAAATACAAAAATAAACAGATATTAATGGAAAACAGAAATACAGTGGAATGATGTTTGCGTTAAAATTGCTAGTAGATCTTGTTGTTCTCTGTGTGTAACGTAATATCAGCTAAAATCACTCTGTCTCATTCTCTCTCTCTCTCTCTCTCTCTTTCTCTCTTTGTGTTTGGATAATGTAAAGAGAGAGACAGTGAGAGAGACAGAGAGACACAGCGAGAGAGAGAGAGATAGAGAGAGAGAGAGAGAGAGAGAGAGAGAAAGGCTAATATACTATTCACGGACTAATTGAAACGTTAAAAGTGTCATTACAAAGGTAAACGAGCTTTTAGAAAAACGACATTAAACGCATTGGACATTTTCCAATTGACGACTGGACATAGCGATTAATTCACTTTTCATTAATGAATTCCATTATGACGTATAACTTTGACGCGGTTGAATTTCTTTGAAGAGGAAAGGGAAAAGAAGAAAATAGAAAAGTGAAAAAAAAAGGAAAAAAGGAAAAAAAGAAGAGCAAAGATAAGAATAAGGGGGGGGGGGTGGTGGAAGAAAGAAAAAAGGAAAAGAAAAAGAAATGAAAAAAAAGAAAAGAAATTATTCGAAACTTACGTGAACGCGAGGATCCTTTTGATGAACGAAAAATAGATTATAGCATGTAATTCTTACTAACGATTAAGCCTTGATTGGAATAAATGGAAATGAGAAAAAATTTACAAATGGATGATTGAAAATGCAATCGTAGTAGAGAAATAGTAGTAGAAAAGACGAAGAAAAAGAAAAAGAAAAAGAAGATGATGATAAAGAAGACGAAGAAAAAGACGAAGAAGATGAGAAAGGGATGAAGAAAGACGGATGAGGAAGATCGTTGGGAAAAGGGCCGGAGGGCTGGTTAGGAGGGGTGGGAGGGGTGGGGAGGGGGTAAAGCGAGAGCGACACGCATCATGAATAAAAGATGACGATGCTTCGTATGACTCTTTGCGTGTCCATGGTGTCACTGGCATATTGATTGCCTTCTTTGGTGCTGTACTGTGCAGTGCTGTGCTGTGCTGTGCTGTTATGTGCTTTTCTATTCTGTTCTGTTCTGTGTTGTGCTTTTAGACGTTGCAACTTGCAAGGAAGCACAACCAAAAGCGCGACAAGTATACGTCTGGTTAAAATGTGAGACTATTATCCGCAGTACTTCGTGCCCTTCAAGAAGCCCTTATCTGTATGTATGTATTTATGTGTATATATATATATATATATATATATATATATATGTATGTATGTGTACGATTGTGTAGCTTTCACAGCTTCAACTATACTAAGAAGCTATCAAAGAGTTCAATGCTTGACTTTACGATCGACCATTTTTTATGATCCTTTTGGTTTAGCTAACATATGTATAGTATTTATCTATGTATGTATGCGCATCCATGTATTTATTTATGTATTTATGTATACGCGTACATATGTGTGTGTGTGCGTGTGCGTATACTTCGACGATATTTTTTTTCCTGCGGAAAGAGAATATCATAGAAGAAGAGAGAGAGAGAGATTCTCGAGAAAAAAAAAAAGAAATTTATAAGAGACACGCGTGAAAGTCAAATATTGTTGATGAACAATAAAAAAAAAAAAAGAAAAAAAAAAGAAAAGAATAAAAAATAGAAAATAAAATAAAAACAAACGTACGCGAGAAAATTGTTATTGTTCCGTTCGTTTTGTGAAGTATTCGTTTCTTTCTCTTTTTGTCTTTTTCTTTCTTTCGTTCTCTTCTTTTTTCATTTCGTCAAATTTTTCCATTTCTCCTTTTAAAAAAGATTTTTTTCCAATAAGGCATTTAGGTCGGTGTCTTTGCCAACGGAATAACGTTATACGAATTATATCGATAAATTTGTAGGACGTTTAAATTCACGCCGACAGAGAAATTACGTAGAGTAAATTAAAGCGCGAGTATTTCTGTGGCAAATTGCACGATGGTATTGACGGTGGTGTATGACGTTAATTACAGAACCCGATTGGATACGCGGGCCTTGATGCTACGAGCATGTCATTCTCATCCTGTAAATGATAAAACTGTCAATCATTCAGCGAAACAAATCGCGTTCGGGCACAGTAACGTCGCTACAACGAGTTAATCAATTTTGAGAGTTTCCACGTGTCGTTTCGAGTTAACCATTTCGTGGTGCGTTCCGGTCATTTTAATTTGGTCTAGAAAAAGAAAAAAAAAAAAAAAAGAAAATAATAAAAAGAGAAAAAAAAAGGAGGAAGGGGAGGGGGGAAAAAAGGGACGTTCAATTTACAAGTGACATAAAAGAGATCACGTACGTATTCGACTCTCGCTCACGTCCGTCCTACGGCCAACAATTTCTTCTATTTTTACGCAGAGATATTTTTATTTATCGATTTTATAGATCCAACTATACGGCCTCTCGCTTTTGC